CTGGGCTGGGATAGGTGGAGCGCCGCCTGCAATTCCCTGCCGCAGAGGAGGCTGTGGGCGGGACGGGAAAGCGCGAGGTGTTTACTGCGCAAGCGTCTCTGCGTTCCCCTTTCTCCCTAATCTCCTCCGCCCACGGCTCCTTGAATCTTCTTCCAAGAAGAGGTCCCTGTCCCCGCCTCCTCCCCTATCTAGCGGCCAAGAAGTCCAGACCTAACTTGGGGAGACCAAGAATGCCAGGGCCGAGGGGACAGTAGTTCGTAGCTGATCCCGTTGAGCAGAGATGAAAACTAAGGTCCAGAGAGGTTGAACGTCTTGCCCAAGGTCACACAGCCAGGAAGAGTCAGCCAGATTTACAGTCTATTTTGGCTTTTCATCACTTTTCTTTTTTTAATATATTTTATTGATTTTGTACAGAGAGGAATAGAGAGGGATAGAGAGTCAGAAATATCAATGAGAGAGAAACACCCATCAGCTGCCTCCTGCACACCCCTTAGTGGGAATGTTCCCGCAACCAAGGCACATGCCCTTGACCGGAATCGAACCTGGGACCCTTCAGTCTACAGGCTGACGCTCTATCCACTGAGCCAAACCGGTTTGGGCTTTTCATCACTTTTCAATATACAATGTCATTTTACATTATTTAAAATAAATAAAACATTTTATTTTATTGTTTTATTTTGCAATCATAAGGCCATGATACAGATATCAAGTCAAAATCGTGAGCCTCTCCTCCTCCAGCCTTGGAGCTCCTCAGCAAGAATGGGACCTGGGACTGAACACGCTGGCTAAAAGGAAGCAGTGGGTGGATCTGTGGTGGGTCCCACCTCCGCCGCTCAGTGTCCCAGAGACCCGCTTTGGCAGCTGGCTTTGAGGAAGGACAGGCCTCCGGAACTGTCCCGCCCCGGGCCATTGAGAAATTTGGGGCAAAGGCTACAGGAAGAGTCCACTTCTGTCACCGCAGGATGCAAACGCCACCCACCACCCTCTCCCAATCTCCAAGCCTGGTATTCCTGGAATGAGCCTTCGGGGGAGTGTCCTGTTCCTGGGAACGTCCCTTCTGGGTCCTGGGGATGGAAATGAGGGTGAGGACAGCCCACCCTCCAGGTTCCATGGAGCCGCCCATTTGGGTTTTCAGGAACCGGGCTTGGATTCTAGGAAGACGGACAGCGCTCAGCGCTCAGCTGTTTAGTAACCAAGAGGGGCCATTCTTAATCATGGCTGGAGGGGAGGGTGCTGTCTGCCCATAAAGAACAGAGACCCGCACCATTGAAAACAGTAACAACAACTGGAGTTATTGGGACCTCAAGTTGGAAAGAGTCCTTATTATTTTTTTTAAATCTTCACTGAGATATTTTCCCCATTGATCTTTATGGGAGAGAGTGGAAGGGAGGGAGGAAAGCACCGAGAGAGACATTGATCGCGGGGCCAGGGATCAAACCCGGGAACCCAGGTGTGACCCCTTCAATCCAGGGGGGGCGGGGCGCTCTCTAACCACTGAGCCACCCAGCCAGGGTGGAAAAGAGTCCTTTTTAGGAAAGATATAATAAGCATCTCAAGGATGGGAGGAGCCCATTCCCTGAGAACAGCACCATTTTTAAAATATATATATATATATATATATATATATTTTATTGATTTTTTACAGAGAGGAAGGGAGAGGGATAGAGAGTCAAAAACATCGATGAGAGAGAAACATCCATCAGCTGCCTCCTGCACGCCCCCCACTGGGGATGTGCCCGCAACCAAGGTACATGCCCTTGACCAGAATCGAACCTGGGACCCTTCAGTCCGCAGGCTGACGCTCTAGCCTCTGAGCCAAACTACTCAGGGCAACAGCACCATTAAAAAAAATATAGATATAGATATAGATATAGATATAGATATAGATATAGATATAGATATAGATATAGATATAGATATTAGTAGTGGGGTTTGAGCTAGTTTGCTTTATGAAGGACGTGAAGGGAGAAGGGAGACATCCAGATCCCAAGAACAGGAAAAGTCTGTGTCTAAGGACGGGGTTGGGGAGAGAGCACCCTTCCTGGCCTTGTCTCTCCACCTGCCTCTCACCCACCTCTTCCACCCTTTGCCCAGAGCTCGGGGGTTTGGGTGTGGGTAGATGGGGAAACTCGGTCCTCTCCCAACCCCCTCCAGAGCCCATGAAGCAGCCAAATTTAATTTGCAAGACCGGGCCTAAGGCAAAGGCATTCTAAGGTCCAACGGGGGATCCAATTGAGGAGGACGGAACCTGGGGCGGTGTGCTGGTGTGGGGGCGGACATGGCGCCTGTCAGGAGCTGGCGGACTTTCCCCCAGCTGGACGAGAGCAGCGCTTGTTAATGGGAATGCAGTGGGAACCATAGTAGACTTTCCAGTGTATTCCAGCAATGGTTTAAAAAAAGGGGGAAGCCCTGGCCGGTGTGGCTCACTGGATAGAGCATCGGCCTGGGGACTGAAGGGTCCCAAGTTCAATTCCGGTCAAGGGCATGTACCTTGGTTGCAGGCACATCCCCGGGGCGGGGATGTGCAGGAGGCAGCTAATTGATGGTTCTCTCTCGTCAATGTTTCTAACTCTTTATCCCTCTCCCTTCCTCTCTGTAAAAAATTAATAAATAAAATATATTTTAAAAATTTTTTAAAGTAAGCCTTGGCGGGTGTGGCTCAATTGGTTGAGGTAGGGGGTGTGCAGGAGGCAGGTGATAAATGTTTCTCATCGATGTTTCTGACTCTCTCCCTCTCCCTCTCTATAAAAAAACAAAAACAAATAAAATATATTAAAAAAGAAAAAGGAGAAATAAATTTTAATAACATTTATGTGACCATTTCAACGTATCTGGCATTCTTATTTTTCTGTCTTTAAAAGTCGGCGTTTTTCACTTATATACATCTTCGTCGATCAGTGGCCATGAGCCGTTAATACTGGCTGTGCCAGCATAACATTATGGGACTGGATTTGAGCAAGACCATTCTGGGGCTCAGCAGCTGGCCCACTGCTAAGTTTTTTTGTGTTGTTTTTTTTAAAAAAATATTTTTTATTCATTTTTTACAGAGAGGAAGAGAGAGGGATAGAGAGCTAGAAACGTCGATGAGAGAGAAACATCGACCAGCTGACTCCTGCACACCCCCTACCGGGGATGTGCCCACAACCAATGTACATGCCCTTGACCGGAATCAAACCCGGGACCCTTCAGTCCGCAGGCCGACGCTCTATCCACTGAGCCACACCGGTTTCTGCCAGAGAGCTTTTTCCAATATCAATCAGCCGTATCCTTCCCCGGCTTACATGCCCCAGCCACATGAGTCTCCTCTGGGTCACCCTGACCCTCCAGACACATTTCCACACCCCAACTCCCAACCCCAACGATGGTGCGATGGTGCCCTGAGTTGGAGAAGACTTCCTGACTTAGGGATGTAATAACCCCTCCCAGGAGCTGGGGCTGTGCCCCAATGGAGGTCCCAGAGCCAGTGCACCATCCACCAGCCTCCGAAAGTGACACACTCAGGGGCGCACTCAGCGGGCACCAGAGCTCCCCTAAAGCCGTGCCCTGAGGGGTGGGCCCCCGCACAGCTTATCCTTCACAGCGGATGGCAGCTGTCAGTCCTCGCAGCCAAGGGGCCTGGGGATACACGCCCCCCATTGAGGTCCCAACTACAACAGGGCTCAGCTACAGAGGGAGGGTGCACGCAGCCCGTGGCAGGGGGGCGGGCGGGCGGCCCCTGGGGTGCCAGTTCAGCGGGTCAGGGAGCTGAGGACCCTACAGAACGTCTAGGACAGCAGGCCACTCTGCCACACCCGGGAGACACAGCAGCGAACCGAATCCACAAAAACACACGCCAGGAGGGGGCCCATGAGGAAACACAGACACACGTCCCAAAGGAAAGAACAGGACAAAACCCCGGAAAGAGAACGAAACGAAACGGAGACGAGCCATCTACCAGATGCAGGAGTTCAAAGGCACTGGTTCTAAGGTGCTCACTGAACTTAAGAGCAGATGGACTTTTTAGAACCTAAAGAGACTGAAGCATAGTAACCTTCATCTTGGGTAAAACTGCTGTTTAAAAAAATTGTTAAGCCGAAACCGGTGTGGCTCAGTGGATAGAGCGTTGGCCTGTGGACCGGAAGGTCCCAGGTTCGATTCCAGTCAAGGGCATGTACCTTGGTTGCGGGCACATCCCCAGTAGGGGGTGTGCAGGAGGCAGCTGGTCGATGTATTTCTCTCACCGATGTTTCTAGCTCTCTATCTGTCTCCCTCAATAAAATATATTAAAAAAATAAATAAAAATAAAAATTTTTTAAAAATATATTTTATTGATTTTTTTTACAGCGAGGAAGGAAGAGGGATAGTTAGAAACATCAGTCAGCTGCCTCCTGCACACCCCCCACTGGGGATGTGCCCGAAACCAAGGTACATGCCCTTGACTGGAATCGAACCTGGGACCTTCCGGTCCACAGGCCAACGCTCTATCCACTGAGCCACACCGGTTAGGGCCGCTGGTTAAAATTCCAACCCTGCCGTTCTGGCTTCTGTAAGCCTTTGTTCGCTTAAATAACGGGGGAAATTAAGATGGCTCCCATTCCAGAGAGGCCATAAACCTTCCCCAGGGGAGTTATCAGTGCTGGAGCCAGGCCAGGTCTCTGGTTGAGGTCTCAGAGCCCCTGCACAGAGGGCTCTTTAAGAACTTACAACGGGACCAGAAAAACCCTGTTTGGATTTTCTTTAATGGGCAAAACTCACACATCATAAGAGACTCACATCCCCGGCGCACGCATCGAAAAGCTTTGCCAAGTGCTCACGCCACCATCACTGGCGTTGGATTCTCTCTGTATCGCTTACCGAAGCCTGGTGTCTCTGCCTGCTCCTTGTCTCCTGGCCCAGTCCCTCAGCGAACGGGAGATCCATCCTCCTGGCCTGGGCTCCATCCTCACTCCCCACCGGCTCCCAGGGCCCAGGCCCGGCCAGGGTACCCAGTGAAGAATCCCGTGGGAATGTGGGGGGCTGGGTGAGCCCACGGGGACCCTTGGGGAGAGGGAATCGGCCCCCCCCAGAACCAGGGGGCCCCTCTATGGTCAGTTCCGGACGGGAATGAAGGATTCCATGGAATCTCTGAAGGGGAGGGACATGTCGGGGTGACAGTAGAATCTGGACAAGCAGAGTTCCCTGAGGCCCCGGGTTCAGGCTGAGCCAGCACCCCCCTCGGGGCACCCCCGCTCCGGGAGGCCCAGTGGTTGGGCCCTTTGTGAGGCAGGCTGGGGGAGACAGAGCCCTGAGGGCCAGCAGCCAGAAGAGGTAGAGAGTCTCAGAGGAAGGAGCCCCTGGGAGCAGGGCCCCACACGCCATGGCCAGCGTGGTGGTGAAGACGATCTGGCAGTCCAAGGAGATCCACGAGGCAGGAGACCCCCCGGCAGGCGTGGAGAGCCGCTCCCAGATGGTCCCCGAGGCTCCGGGCGGGGGGGCCGGCCCGGCCAAGGGGATCGCCAAGAAGAAGAAGGCCGTGTCCTTTCACGGGTGGGTCTGCCGCGGCCCTGACGGCTGCCGTCCCGGCGCCCGGCGCCGCCTCGACACAGCACGCGTGTGCGTGTGGGGGCTGGGGAGGGGGGGCGGGAGGGGCAGGCAAGGAAGAAGTCAGGGGAAGGGGGAGGGCATTAGAGGAAGAAGAAAGCCAGGCCTGCAGAAACCGGTGTGGCTCAGTGGTAGAGCATAGGTCTGCGACTGAAAGGTCCCAGGTTCGATTCCGGTCAAGGGAATGTGCGTTGGTTGCAGGCACATCCCCAGAAGGGGGTGTGCAAGAGGCAGCTGGTCCATGTTTCTCTCTCATCGACGTTTCTAGCTCTCTATCTCTCTCCCTTCCTCTCTGTAAAAAATCAATAAAAAAATATATTTAAAAAGAAAGAAAGAAAGAAAGAAAGAAAGAAAGAAAGAAAGAAAGAAAGAAAGCTCTGTGTGGCTCAGTGGTTGAGTGCCGACCCATGAACCAGGAGGTCATGGTTTGGTTCCTGGTCAGGGTACAGGCCTGGCTGCAGGCTCGAACCCCAGTAGGGGCCGTGCAGGAAGCAGCCGATCAATGATTCTCATCATTGGTGTTTCTCTCTCTCTCTCCCTCTCACTTCTTATCTCTGAGTCTAGTCAATAAAAACCATATTATTTTTTTTTAGCCCTGGCTGGTTTGGCTTAGTGGATAGAGCGTCGGCCTGCGGACTGAAAGATCCCAGGTTCCGTTCTGGTCAAGGGCACAGGCCTGGGTTGTGGGCATGACCACCAGTAGGGGGCGCGCAGGAGGCAGCCGATCCATGGTTCTCTCCCATCATTGATGTTTCTCTCTCTCTCTCCCCCGCTTCCTTTCTCTCTGAAATCAATAAAAAATCAATAACATATTTTAAAGAAAGAAAATAGGTAGAGGGATGGAGGAGGAAGCAGAAAGAAGGCGGTGAGGTTGGAGTCAGAGAATATGGGATATGGAGATGGAGGTAGGCTGCTACATCTTTTTATTTTTATTTTATTTTTTTTAAATATATTTTAATGATTTTTTTTTTTTTTACAGTGAGGAAGGGAGAGGGATAGAGAGTTAGAAACATCAATGAAAGAGAAACATCAATCAGCTGCCTCCAGCATACCCCACCGGGGATGTGCCCGCAACCAAGGTACATGCCCTTGACCGGCTTCGAACCTGGGACTTTTCAGTCGCCAGGCCGACGCTCTATTCACTGAGCCACACCGGTTTCGGCTTATTTTCATTTCTTAATTGATTTCAGAGAGGAAGGGAGAGGGAGATAGAAACATCAATGATGAGAGAGAATCATTGATCGGCTGCCCCTGGCACGCCCCCTACTGGGGATGGAGCCCACAACTTGGACAGGTGCCCTGACCGGGAATGGAACCGTGGCCTCCTGGTTCGTGGGTTGACGTTCAACCACTGAGCCACCCAGGCCGGGCTGAGGCTCCCACTGACCCTCCTGCCTCTCTCCCGCCCAGGGTGGAGCCTCGGATGTCCCACGAGCCCATGCACTGGTGTCTGAACCTCAAACGCTCCTCGGCCTGCACCAACGTGTCCCTGCTCAACCTGGCCGCCGTGGATGCCACGGACTCCTCCGTGACCGACTCCACCACGGAGGACAGCGGCTCGCTGGCGCTGCCCGCGCCCCCCGCCTCCCCTACCCCACCCTGGGCTCCGGAGGACCCGGATATCACGGAACTACTGGTGAGGGCGAGGGCGAGGGCGGTCCGAGCCCTGGCGGGAGACGGATGCTGAGGGCGGAGGGGTGACTGTGTGGTGCTGGTCACTGTTTTCTTTTGATAATATTTTTATTGATTTCAAAGAGGAAGGGGGGGAGGGAGAGAGGGAAAAACATCGATGATGGGAGGCAATTATTGATCAGCTGCCTCCTGCACACCCCCGACGGGGGAGCCCACAACCTGGGCGTGTGCCCTTGACAAGAATCGAACCTGGACCCTCCAGTCCACAGGCCGATGCTCTATCCACTGAGCCACACTGGCTGGCGCTGGGAGTTGGTCTTTCGGCCAGGCCAGGTTCCTGCCCTTGGAAAGCACCCATTCAATGCCCAGTTCTCACGCTGACTCCCAGGTACAGACAGACAGACTGACTGGGGACACCGCATCCTTTCGTAGAGGCCATGGTGGGAGCCCAGAAAAGGGACGTCACCCCAGGATGGGTGCATCCGGGAAAGGTTCCTCCTGGGCTTGGACAGAGGAGGTGTTCTCTTTGGGGCTCACCTAAGAACTCGGGCAGCCGAAACCAGTTTGGCTCAGTGGATAGAGCATCAGCCTGTGGACTGAAGGGTCCCGGGTTCGATTCCGGTCAAGGGCATGTACCTTGGTTGCGGGCACATCCCCAGTAGGAGGTGAGCAGGAGGCAGCTGATGATGTTTCTCTCTCATGGATGTTTCTAACTCTCTATCCCTCTCCCTTCTTCTCTGTAAAAGAAATCAATAAAATATATATATTTTTTAAAGTAGGAAAAAAAAAAAAAAGAATCGGGGGTAAAGCAGGGAGGTGAGCAAGATCTGTGAGAATGCAGAGAATCCTCCACAGAAGCATAAGGCCTGCAGCCTGGTCCTCCCCCCCCCCCCCCCCCCAGCCAGCCCCAACAGGGCTCCATGTGACACTGAGAATAACCAGATTGCCTGACTGGGAGGGGGGGGACTCTCATCCATTTGGTGGTGCCTCCTCCCGTCACCGAAAGGTTGCAGGTTTGATTCCCAGTCAGGGCGCACACCCGGCTTGTGGGTTCAATCCCTGATAAGGGGTGTGTAGGAGGGAGGTAGGCGATGGATGTTTCTCTCTCTAAAATTCAGTTTTTCATATACATATTTGTATTGATTTCTGGGGGGAAGGGAGAGGGAGGGAGAGACAGAATCATCCATGATGAGAGAGAATCATAGACGGGCTGCCTCCTGCACGCCCCCCACTGGGAATCGGGCCCACAACGCGGGCACGTGTTCTTGACCCGAATCGAACCTGGGACTTTTCGGTTCACAGGCTGACGCTCTATCCACTGAGCCACACCGGTTTCGGCAAAAAAAAATAAATGCTTTTTTAAATCTTAAAATAAAAAAGAATAACTATGCTCATAATGATGCTAATGAGACTCACTGGCAGCGACTGAGCACTTCTACTCCAGGAGCCTCAGTTTCTCCATCTGTGAAACAGAGAGGCATTTAAAAAATATATATTTTATTGATTTTTCAAAGAGAGGTAGGGAGGGGGGAAAGACAGAGAGCTAGAAACACCGATGAGAGACATCGACCAGCTGCCTCCTGCACACCCCACACTAAGGGATGTGCCCACAACCAAGGTACATGCCCTTGACCGGAATCGAACCCGGGACCTTTCAGTCTGCAGGCTGACGCTCTACCACTGAGCCAAACCGGTTCCGGCGAAAGGGAGAGGCATTTGTTCCCACAAGAAATAGCCTTCCACGCCTACAGGGTGCCAGACACTAGTCTAGGAGCAGAAACACAGCAACAGCCACGACGGAGTTCTGGGTGGAACCGCGCCCACCCTCTGCGGTTGCCATGACAACGAAGTGCCGTCCATTCATGTAAAACGTAGGCCCAGCAGCCGGCTGTCAGCACAGCCCGAGTGTTGGCTGTCACTGTCGTTCTTTTTATCTGCCCCCGTTTCCCACGTGAACTTACTGGGGCACCAGAGGGGGTCTGGCACATCAGGACTGAGTAAGATGGGCCAGACACACCCTGGAGCCCTCCTGTGGTTCCTTCCTGGCTGGCCAACCTCCATGTCCCTGCCCGGCCCCCATCGTGCATTGGGGGGTCACAGCTGGCAAGCACAGTGGCAGTGGCAGGATGTACGACTACCTGCTCCCCACGGAAGCAGGCCTAAGCTGGCAGTCGGACACCCCTGAGGGCTCTTGGACTGTGAGAGAGTGCACGCACCCAAGTGCACAAATTTTGTGCACTGGGCCTCTAGTATATTTATAATTGTTATATCTTCTCAGTGACTCAACTCTAACCAGTTTTTGCCAGTTTTTTTTTTAAATTGATTTTATCAAGGGGTGGAATTTTGGGGGGTTGACTCCACTTTGCTGTCTCCTTAAAACAGTATTTATCACACTTGTCCTCCACAGCAGTCCTGCAGGAAATGTGATATCGTCCCCATCTCACAATGCAGGAAACGTGTGCTCTCTTTTCTCCTTGTGTATCAGTTCAGCGACTGTGAAAGAAATCAAGACGGCCTGTTTATTTCTCGCATGAAAATCTCCACAAACAGAGTGGGCCTGCTCTTCAGGTTACAGGCTCCTGTGTTCTGATGGCTCAGCTACTAAGTCACAAGTCTGGCTGCTGAAACACAAAGACACAAACAGCCCTGGCCGGTCTGGCTCAGTGGATAGAGCGTCGATCTGTGGGCTGAAAGGTCACGAGTTCTATCCCTGGTCAAAGGCATGATCCACAGACTTTATCGATGCTCATGAGAGAGATAACCAACCGATGTGTCTCTCTCAAGTTGATGTTTCACTCTCTCTCTTTCCTCCTCCTCCCTCCCCTCCATTCTCTCTAAATATCAATGGGAAAAATATCCTCGGGTGAGGATTAAAAAAAAAAAAGCTGAAACCGGTTGGGCTCAACTGGTTTGGCTCAGTGGTAGAGCGTCGGTCTGCGGACTGAAAGGTCCCAGGTTCGATTCCGGTCAAGGGCATGTACCTTGGTTGCAGGCACATCCCCTGTGGGGGGTGTGCAGGAGTCGGCTGGTAGATATTTCTCTCTCATCGATGTTTCTTGCTCTCTATCTCTCTCCCTTCCTCTCTGTAAAAAATAAATAAAATATATTAAAAAAATTTTTAAAAAGACACGAAACAGCATAGCTTAGCCAAGTTGGAAAATGTCATCTCTGTGTGCTAGCCTTCAGAGGTGGCTGGAATCTAGGACGGGAGCTCCACAGAGCTGGTATTCAGGCTTCCTCTGTCTTGTTCTGTCTTCTATCTCATGTCCCAAAATAGCTTTAGCCACCAACGTTGCATTCCCGCCAATAGGAAGAAAAAAATGGGGCCGTTCTCTTTCCTTTCCCGTATTAAAGGCATGACTCAGATATTATCTTATTCCCACTCACATTCCTCCAGCAGAACGTAGTCACATGACCATGCCTGGCTACAAGGGAGCCTGGGAAATGTAGTCTTTGGCTGGGAAGTCATGTGCTAAGCCAGTGGTCGGCAAACTCATGGGTCCACAGAGCCAAATATCAACAGTACGATTGAAATTTCTTTTTTTTTTTTTTTAAATATATTTTATTGATTTTTCACAGAGAGGAAGAGAGTGATAGAGTAAGAAACATCGATTAGAGAGAATCATTGATCAGCTGCCTCCTGCACACCCCCTACTGGAGATATGCCTGGAATCAAGGTACATGCCCTTGACAGGAATTGAACCTGAGACTTTCCAGTCCATAGGCTGACGCTGTATCCACTGAGCCAAACCAGTTTCAGCTGAAATTTGAGAACCAAATTTTCTAAAATTTAAACTTCTTCTGTCACATGTTCAAAACAGACTCGCCCAGGCCGTGGTATTTTGTGGAAGAGCCACACTCAAGGGGCCAAAGAGCCGCATGTGGCTTGCGAGCCGCGGTTTGCCGACCACAGTGCTAGGCTAACTTCTGTGAATGTGGAAGGGCTCAGAGTGGACCTCTCCTGAGCCGGTTTGGCAGGAACCACAAAGCATTCTATGGCGATAAAAGAGAGCGATGATCGAGGCCGCCTGGGCCGGATCCTGTCCACCCGGGTACACTCACACGAGGTGGCCTGGTCAGATTTAAACCAGAACTCAGCCTCCTCCTGTGCTGTGAGCCTGGGAGACAGGGGACACCCCTCTCTGACCCCCTTTGCAGAGGGGCCGAATAATGTCAGCAGGTGTGGCCGTGAGGAATAAGAGAGAAAATGTGTGTAAGCGCTTGGCCTGCAGCAGTGAGTGCTTGTGTCTAGAACGTGGGTTACCTTTAGAATTCTCCAGAGCCTGGAGAGAAAGTCAGAGCGTGTGAGTTATTTCTGTGTGTGTGTGTGTGTGTGTGTGTGTGTGTGTTTAAATACATTTTACAGAGAGGAAGGAGAGGGATAGAGAGTTAGAAACATCGATGAGAGAAACATCGACCAGCTGCCTCCTGCACCCCCCCCCCCACTGGGGATGTGCCCGCAACCAAGGTACATGCCCTTGACCGGAATCGAACCCGGGACCTTTCAGTCCGCAGGCCGAGGCTCTATCCACGGAGCCACACCGGTTTCGGCTGGACTTGTTCTTGCTGGGGTTTTGCTCCCCCCCCACCTGTCGTCTCTCCTTCCTCCCCAGAGCGGGGTCAACAGTGGACTGGTTCGCGCCAAGGACTCCATCACCAGCTTGAAGGAGAAAACCACCCGGGTGAATCAGCATGTGCAGACGCTGCAGGTGTGAGGCACGGCCTCCCCCCACCAGCACCCCCTTTCTCCAGGGCCACGGGGCCCTCATAGGCCCCTCCCCCAGCTCCTCGAACCCACAGCCCAGCTTCCTGGGCAGAGGCTCAGCAAGGAGAGCGATCTCCCCAGGCCTAGCCACCTCCCCCCACCATGGGGCGCCCGGCGGGGTGTCCCCTCGGCTAACCCCTCGGCTAACCCCTCCCTCCCGTGCTCCAGAGTGAGTGCTCTGTGCTGAGTGAGAATCTAGAGCGAAGGCGCCAAGAGGCAGAGGAGCTGGAAGGGTACTGCAGCCAACTCAAGGTGAGCTGCTGGGGAGCAGGGGTGGGCGGTGGGGGGGGAAGGAGGGACTGGACGGAGGAGGGTGGGGGGCGTGGAGTGGGGGGACGGGGGGGGGGGGCAGTGCAAAGCAGCACAGGACAGGCTGAAGGAGAAAGTCATCCCTTCGTCCCAGGGAGCCAGCCAGGCCGAGGCCGGCAAACCGCGGCTCGCGAGCCACAGGCGGCTCTCTGGCCCCTCGCGTGCAGCTCTTCCACAAAACACCGCGTACAGGGCGAGGGGAACCTCGGGGCCCACGTGCAGAAGTCGGCTTTCGGCTCTCCGAAGAGATTCTAATGGCTGTGCCGTGGATGTGTGGCTCTGCGGACTGAGTCTGCCGACCGCTGTCTGAAGGGCTAAAGGACAGGCAGAGGGCAGACACGGGCTGGGGGGAGAGGGGGGACACGGGCCTTGCTGTCTGGGGGGAGCCTGTGAGGAAATGGAGGGGAAGGGCTGGGAGGCAGAACCGGAATGGAAAGGCAGGGCCCCTGCCTGGTGTCCCGCCCCAGGAGAACTGCCGGAAGGTGACGCGGTCGGTGGAAGATGCTGAAATAAAAACCAACGTCCTGAAGCAGAACTCCGCGCTGCTGGAGGTAAGGGGGGGGCCAGGACTGGGGGCAGGGGCTTGGTCAGGCTTCAGGCGGGACTCGCCCACCCGCCACCACCCTGGGCGCCCCTTCACGTCCACGGTCACACGTCTGTGCACAGTGCACAGGCAACGTCCACGGTCACACGTCTGTGCACAGTGCACAGGCAGGTCCACGGTCACACGTCTGTGCACAGTGCACAGGCAGGTCCACGGTCACAAGTCTGTGCACAGTGCACAGGCAGGCCCACGGTCACACGTCTGTGCACAGTGCACAGGTAGGTCCACGGTCACACGTCTGTGCACAGTGCACAGGCAACATCCATGGTCACACGTCTCTGTGCACAGTGAACAGGCAGGTCCACGGTCACACGTCTGTGCACAGTGCACAGGCAACGTCCACGGTCACACGTCTGTGCACAGTGCACAGGCAGGTCCACGGTCACACGTCTGTGCACAGTGCACAGGCAGGTCCACGGTCACAAGTCTGTGCACAGTGCACAGGCAGGCCCACGGTCACACGTCTGTGCACAGTGCACAGGTAGGTCCACGGTCACACGTCTGTGCACAGTGCACAGGCAACGTCCATGGTCACACGTCTCTGTGCACAGTGAACAGGCAGGTCCACGGTCACACGTCTGTGCACAGTGCACAGGCAGGTCCACGGTCACACGTCTGTGCACAGTGCACAGGCAGGTCCATGGTCACACGTCTCTGTGCACAGTGAACAGGCAACGTCCATGGTCACATGTCTGTGCACAGTGAACAGGCAGGTCCACGGTCACACGTCTGTGCACAGTGCACAGGCAGGTCCACGGTCACACGTCTGTGCACAGTGCACAGGCAGGTCCACGGTCACACGTCTGTGCACAGTGCACAGGCAGGTCCACGGTCACACGTCTGTGCACAGTGCACAGGCAGGTCCACGGTCACACGTCTGTGCACAGTGCACAGGCAGGTCCCAGAGAGAGACTCGTGCTGGACTTCGGGCGGGAATGTCCGTGGCGCCCTGTGCCCATACACCTCCCCGCAAAACGCTGGAAAAGTTTCCATTGTTCTTCCTCAGCAGGAGGAGGACGCCTTGGAGGACAGGAGTGGGGGGTGGAGAGCTTGGGGGTGCCGGGCTGCCTGGAGACAGGGAGGCAGCAGCTTCCAATGGGAGAACAGTCCCAAAGGAACGGCAAGAGGGAGTCCAGTTAGTCTCCCAGCTGGACTTCCCGTCCCAATACCCTGCCCCACATCCATGTGCTTTCCAACCTCAGGGACTCACTGGGTGGGTCTGGGGGGGAGGCGGGGAAGGGGACGTGGGGGGCCACGGGCTCCAGGCCCTAACCCTGCCCCTCCCCTCCCGGTCAGGAGAAGCTCCGCTACCTCCAGCAGCAGCTGCAGGACGAGACCCCGCGGCGGCAGGAGGCCCAGCTGCAGGAGCTGGAGCAGAAGCTGGAGGCCGGCCTGTCCCGCCAGGGCTGCTCCGGGGGGCAGGGCTGCTCCGGGGGGCAGGGCTGCTCCGGGGGCCCCGGGAGCCCCGACGAGCCCCCGCGGCCGCGCTGCTGCTGGGGGGCGGGGGCCCGGGCCGGGGAGGGCCTGGTCCTGAGTGAGCAGGAGGTGCAGAAGGTGTCCAACGGCCTGGAGGACCTGAGGTGGGTGGGGGGAGCGGGAAGACCTTGGGGGGCAGGACCTGGGGGGGCCCTGAAGAACCGGGAGGGAGTGCTTCAGGAGGTGGTGGCCTAGAAGGGCGGGGCTTGGAAGAACTTAGTTTTGAGCACAGGCTGGCGGGTCCATGGGTGGTTAAGTGGAGGGCAGGTGTGTGTGTGTGTGTGTGTGTGGAGGGCAGGTGTGTGTGTGTGTGGAGGGCAGGTGTGTGTGTGTGTGTGTGAGGAGGGCAGGTGTGTGTGTGCGTGTGTGTGTGTGTGTGGAGGGCAGGTGTGTGTGTGTGTGTGTGTGTGTGTGTGTGTGTGGAGGGCAGGTGTGTGTGTGTGTGTGTGTGTGTGGAGGGCAGGTGTGTGTGTGTGTGTGTGTGTGGAGGGCAGGTGTGTGTGTGTGTGGAGGGGGAGGCAGGACGTTGGAGGCTCCAGGTTCAGGGGGCAAGGGGACTGGGTTGGGGACTGTGCCCTGAGGAGGCGGGGCTGGACGGGCTGGAGGGGGCCGGTGCGGGGCTGGAGGGGCCGGTGCGGGGCTGGAGGGGGTGGAGGGGGCCGGTGCGGGGCTGGAGGGGCTGGAGAAGCCGGTGCGGGGCTGGAGGGGCCGGTGCGGGGCTGGAGGGGCCGGTGCGGGGCTGGAGGGGCCGGTGCGGGGCTGGAGGGGGTGGAGGGGCTGGAGGGGCCGGTGCGGGGCTGGAGGGGGTGGAGGGGGCCGGTGCGGGTCTGGAGGGGGTGGAGGGGCTGGAGGGGCCGGTGCGGGGCTGGAGCGCAGGATGAGTGGAGGGCCAGGGTTCCCCGGGTGAGCACAGAGGCAGCGTTTTAGACGACGGGGGTTGGATTCCAAGAAACAGGTGGAGAGAACGTGGGGACCGGGTGGGCCCGCAGCCACAGACGTGGTATGGGCGCGGCGGGCACGATGGGGGCCGAGCCCACGCCCGCCTGACCGGCTCCTCACCTTGCCCCGCAGGAGGGAGGTGTCCTCGCTGACGGCGCGGTGGCACCAGGAGGAGGGGGCGGTGCAGGAGGCGCTGCGGCTGCTGGGGGGCCTGGGCGGCAGGCTGGACGGCTTCCTGGGCCAGTGGGAGCGCGCGCAGCGCGAGCAGGCGCAGACGGCGCGGGGCCTGCAGGAGCTGCGCGGCCGCACCGACGAGCTGTGCACCATGTGAGGCCGGGCGCGGGGCGGGGCCGCGGGGGCGGGGCCTCGAGGGAGAGCGGAGGCCAATCAGCTGGGACCAAGAGGGCCCTGACCATAGACTGACACGAAGAAGCTCCTATCAGAGAGTAGGAAGGGGCTGGACATGCCTAATAAGGCCTGAGGGCGGAGCCAATTAGAGAAGGGTTCCACGCCTTAAAAGGACAGAGGGCGGAGCTAAGCAGCCTAGTGAGAGCCAATTGGAGAACAAGGAGGGGTATCTCGGCCTGGACCAGTGGGCCAATGGTTAGAGCCCCAGCCTGAGCACTGAATGGTCTCAGGTCGGATTCCCTGTCAAGGGCATATTCCTGGGTTGCAGGTTTGATCCCTGGCCCTCCTGGGGGTGCATGCGGAAGGCAATGTTAATCTCTCTTTCTCTTTCTCTCTCTCCCTCTCCTCCACTCCCTACCTCCCTTCTACTCTGTCTAAAAAACAATGGAAAAAATATCCTCGGGTGAGGATTAACACAGTAAAATTAAATTTTTAAAAAACTAAACATAGCCGAAACCGGTTTGGCTCAGTGGATAGACAGAGCGTCGGCCTGCGGACTGAAAGGTCCCGGGTTCGATTCTGGTCAATGGCATATATTCTGGTTGCGGGTACATCCCCAGTGGGGGGTGTGCAGGAGGCAGCTGATCGATGATTCGTTCTCATCGATGTTTCTAACTATCTCTCTCTCTTCCTCTCTGTGAAAAATCAAAATATATTAAAAATAAACATAAAAGGAGGGGCCAATCAAAGTAGAGAGGGCGGGGCCAATCAGCGCATAGAGGGCGGGGCCAATCAGAGCAAGAGGGCGGGGCCAATCAGCGCAGAGAGGGCGGGGCCAATCAGCGCATAGAGGGCGGGGCCAATCAGAGCAGAGAGAGGCAGGCAGGGCGGGCGTTAGACTTGCTGCTCGAAGGCCGGTTCTTCTCCTGCTTCAGGGTGGAGCGCTCAGCCGTGTCGGTGGCCTCGCTGAGGAGCGATCTGGAGGGCCTGGGCCCTGTGAAGCCCATTCTGGAGGAGCTGGGGCGGCAGTTCCAGAGCTCCCGGAGGAGCTCTGACCTCACCATGAACCTGGACCGGGCCTCCCAAGGCTCCTGCACCCGCTGTGCCAGGTAAGGGGCGCAGGCCCGGCTCCCGGTGCATTCCATAAAGAGGACGGACTGAAGGAGGTGGGCGATGGCCAGAGCGGGAGGGAGGGCATCCCCAGGCATATGTGGTAGGACCGGCAGCCCTGGGGCATGATGGGAGCCTCTTTTCCCATGTGGAGTCAGGATCTTGTGGAACACGGGGGATTTCAGAGAGGAAGGGAGAGGGAGAGATAGAAACATCAATGATGAGAGAGAATCATTGATTGGCTGTCTCCTTCACGCCCCCCTACTGGGGATGGAGTCCGCCACCCCGGCGTGTGTCCTTGGCCGGAATAGAACCTGAGACCCTTTAGTCCGCATGCCCATGCTCTATCCACTGAGCCAAACCACCCAGGGCCAGAAAGTCTTTTTTTTTTTTTATATATATATATTTTATTGATTTTTTACAGAGGGGAAGAGAGAGGGATAGAGATTTAGAAACATCGATGAGAGAGAGTCACCGACCAGCTGCCTCTTGCACACCCCCTACGGGGATGTGCCCGCAACCAAGGTACATGCCCTTGACTGGAATCGAACCTGGGACCTTTCAGTCCGCAGGCCGACGCTCAATCCACTGAGCCAAACCGGTCTCGGCCAGAAAGTCTCGATATAGTCAAGCATCCTAGACTTCTAGTGCATTGTGGGAAGAAGATTGGGCTGTGGTGATTGGTGGGAGGCTGGGTTTACCGGTGCATTGTGGGGAGGGGAGACCTTGGTTTATCAGAGCCGAGGGATGGATACCATGTTCGGGTCATGTTAGGAAGGGGGGGACTTCCAATACAATGGGCGACCAGATTAAACCAGTCCATTGTGGGCAACAGGAGCTTCGGGTGAGCTGAGGGCCATCGGGGCCTTCGGGAGTGGGACTCCCCAGGCGTGGGGGGGCGGGGTTTGCGGGGTGCCCCGTGGGCGGTGGGCCTCCTGGGGATGGAGTGAGCACCAGGCCTCTCTCACCCCCTGACCCCCCCGCCCCCGCAGCCAGGGGCAGCAGCTGTCCACGGAGTCCCTGCAGCAGCTGCTGGAGCGCGCCCTGACGCCGCTGGTGGACGAGGTGAAGCAGCGGGGCCTGGCCCCCGCGTGCCCCAGCTGCCAGCGGCTACACAAGAAGATTCTGGTACCAGGGCCCGCGGGCCACCGTGCCCCACGCTTCTGCCAGAGAGGGGGCGGGAGCCCGGGGCAGGGGGGCGGCTGGGGGCGGCAGGTGGGGGGCTGAGCTGTGGGCGGCAGGTACAGGGGGAACACTGGGCTCCAATGATTAGGGCCAGGGGAGGGGCAGGCAGTTTTAGAAGGCTGAATTTAGGGACATTTTAAAGAGAATGTCAATGGGTGGGCATTTTATTTTTTTTATTTTTTTATTATTATTTTTTTTAAATATATTTTATTGATTTTGTACAGAGAGGAAGGGAGAGAGATAGAGAGTCAGAAACATCGATGAGAGAGAGTCATCGATCAGCTGCCCCTTGCACACCCCCCACTGGGGATATGCCCGCAGCCAAGGTACATGCCCTTGACCGGAATCGAACCCGGGACCCTTCAGTCCCCAAGCCAACGCTCTATCCATTGAGCCAAACTGGTCCTGGCTGGGTGGGCATTTTAGAAGCCAGCACAGGGTCCACTGGTCAATTATTATGCAAATCTTGGTGAGGGATGTTTCCCAGAGCCTGATGGGAAACTGTGGGCTACAGGAGGCAGACACAGCTACAGCTTCCTAGAAGGCAAACATGACTTCCTGTGGGTCTTGAGGCCACTTTATAAATATATATATATTTAGAGAGGAAGAGAGGAGAGATAGATGGAAACATCAATGATAAGAGAGGGTCATGCATTGGCTGCCTCCTGCACGCCCCATCTTGGGCTTGGAGCCCACAACCCGGGCATGTGCCCTTGACCGGGAATCGAACCCGGGACCTCTTGGTCCATGGGACGATGCTCAAACCACTGAGCAACACCCGCAGGGCAAGAGAGCTGATGTCTTATGGGCTGTGGCCTAATGACAAACGTCGCAGCGGGTGAGACAGACGGGTGAGGCAGCGCAGGGCGTTGATGTGGCAGAACTATGGGACCAGGACGCCCCAGGACAAGGGGCCCGGTGCATCCTGGGACCCAGGGCACCAGAGCAGAAGGACCGCTCATGTGACAGAGATGCTGGTCTGCAGCTAAGGACGTGGGAGGTCTGATTCATGAGATGTAGAAGGTCACCACATGACGCTGAGAGCCAAACCCATGCCCCAGGCATGACGCCCTGGGCATGTGGGGGGAGTCAGACGGACGCTGATGCGGTTCCTGCTGGGGCCCTGGGGGCGAGGAGCCAGGCTCGGCACAGCGGGAAGCGGCAGGCCGGAGGCGCGGGGACCCCCGGAGGGAGGAAGGCGGGCCCCGCGGGCCCCTGCCCCTTGCCCTCCGCGACCCAGCTCCCTCCACCCCCAGCCCGGTCAGGCAAGCCCAGCGGCGCCCACACTCCTCTCCCCAGGAGCTGGAGCGCCAGGCCCTGGCCAAGCACGTGCGGGCAGAGGCCCTGAGCTCCACCCTCCGCCTGGCCCAAGACGAAGCCCTGCGGGCCAAGAACCTGCTGCTGACGGACAAGATGAAGCCGGAGTGAGGAGGCGGCTGAGGGCGTGGGAGGAGGGTGAGGCCTTGGGGGTCGGGCCTGCGTCTCCCCCGCCCCCGCCCCGGTGCCCGGGCGCCAGCACCCACCGCCCGCCCCCCACCGCAGGGAGAAGGTGGCCTCCCTGGACTATCTGCACCTGAAGATGTGCTCCCTCCACGACCAGCTCAGCAACCTGCCACTTGAGGGGTCCACGGGGACGATGGGAGGAGGCAGCAGCGGGGGCACTCCGCCGAAACGTGGGGGCCCGGCCCCCGAACAATAAATAAATGGCTCCTCATGCTGGCATGAACTCGGTCTCCTTGCTTGGCACCGAAAGAGGGTTCGTCACCGGGGTGCACGCCCTGCCTCAGGCCCCTGTGCTCCCTGCAGGGTGCTCCCTGCTAACAGGCCGTCTCCACTCAGAGAGATGCTGATGATGGTCCAGGTCTCTGGAAAGAAGGTGAGGTAAGGGGGCCCTAGCCGGTGTGGGTCAGTGGATAGAGCGTTGGCCTGCGGACTGAGGGGTCCCAGGTTCGATTCCAGTCAAGGGCATGTACCTTGGTTGCGGGAACATCCCCTGTAGGGGTTGTGCAAGAGGCAGCTGATCAATGATTCTCTCTCATCGATGTTTCTAACTCTCTATCCCTCTCCCTTCCTCTCTGTAAAAATCAATAAAATATATTTTTTTAAAAACAAAAACGAAGAAGGAGTAGAGTAGGAAAGTAGGGTAAAAAGGTTCCATGGTGTAGTCTGCATCAGTCAGCCAACATTTCTTAGGGTGATTTTTACTAGGTGATTGCCTATTGCTGTGTAAAGAATTACCCCAAAACTGCCGAGGCCGGTTTGGCTCAGTGGTAGAGCGTCGGTCTGCAGACTGAAAGGTCCCGGGTTCGATTCCGGTCAAGGGCATGTACATTGGTTGTGGGCACATCCCCGGTGGGGGGTGTGCAAGAGGCAGCTGGTCGATGTTTCTCTCTCATCGATGTTTCTGGCTCTCTATCTCTCTACCTTCCTCTCTGTAAAAAATCAATAAAATATTAAAAAAAAAAAAAAAGAATTACCCCAAAACTTAGCTGCTTAAAGCCATAACTGTATATTACCTCACAATGTCTGAAGGCCAGGAATCTGGGAGTAGCTTAGCTGGCTGGCTCTGGCTCAGGGCCCTCATGAGTTTGCAGGCTGCCAGCTGGGGCTGTAGTCATCTGAAGGCTGGACCGGGGCTGGAAGGCGCACTCTCATGGCTGTTGCCGGGGGCCCCAGCGTCTCATGCCCGCTAACTCCTCCCAGGGCGGCAGTCTGAGGAAGAGCAGGTGCCTTTGAGACCTCGGCTCCCAAGTGGCATGGTATCATTTCCCCTTTTTATGTTCCTTAGAATTGAGTCCAAATTTTACTCAAGGGGGCGTGTCAGAAAATGTGCAGACATATTTTAAAGGAAATGTCAATTTGTGGACACGTTTTAAACCACCACAGCAATGCTATTTTAAGTTTTTTTTTAAAAAAACAACAACAACATTATAGCCGAAACCGGTTTGGCTCAGTGGTGGAGCGTCGGTCTGCGGACTGAAGGCAGGTTCGATTCCAATCAAGGGCATGTACCTGGGTTGCGGGCACATCCCCAGTAGGGGGTGTGCAAGAGGCGGCTGGTCGATGTTTCTCTCTCATCGACGTTTCTAATTCTCTATCCCTCTCTCTTCCTCTATGTAAAAAAATCAATAAAATATATTAAGAATAACAGAGGAAGTGTTATTTTAAAAAATATTATAAAATTTTATTTAAAACATTCACAAAATAAAAGTTAAATCAGCCAGATATTTTTAGAAACCTTGCAACTTAAAAAAACAACAACAAAAAAAAAACAAGTATTACAAATGTTTGATTTTTATTTATAGTAATTCTCTGAAGATTTAGTTTACCTACCAAACTCTTTCACCATGTCTAATATGAACTTTTTTTTTTTTTAAAGTTCTCGCATTAAACCTTAAAGCGTTTTAAATTGCTGTACCATAAGCTTCAATCTAGTGATACTTATTTATATAGAAAGAGAATCGTGCCGAAACCGGTTTGGCTCAGTGGATAAAGCAACGGCCTGTGGACTGAAAGGTCCCGGGTTCGATTCTGGTCAAGAGCATGTATCTTAGTTGCAGGCACATCCCCGGTGGGGGGTGTGCAGGAGGCAGCTGATCAATGTTTCTCTCTCATCGTCGTTTCTAGCTCTCTATCCCTCTCTCTCCCTCTCTGTAAAAAAATCAATAAAAATATATATATTTTAAAAAGTTCTCATTAAACCTTAAAGCGTTTTAAATCGCCGCACCCTACGCTTCAATCTAGTGACACTTATTTATATAAAAAGAGAACCTACTTAGACTACAGATCCATAAAACCAAACAGCCCGCCGAAGCCGGTTTGGCTCAGTGGACAAAGCGTCGGCCTGCGGATTGAAAGGTCCCGGGTTCGATTCCGGTCAAGGGCATGTACCTTGGTTGCGGGCACATCCCCGGTGGAGGGTGTGCAGGAGGCAGCTGGTCGATGCTTCTCTCTCATCGACGTTTCTAGCTCTCTATCCTTCTCCCTTCCTCTCTGTAAAAAATCAATAAAATATATATTTTTAAAAAAAGAAAAGCTGTAGTTCTCTTATTAAAAAAAAAAAAACGCCTCCTTCAGGTTTGGGGGAAGAAGTGCAGCTTCTTGGTGAGCGTGGAGGCAAAGCAGGGCACCTGCTTCTTGCCGAAGGCGCTCGGGTCTCTGCAGACGTCCACGTGGCGCCGGGCGAGGAGCTCCGTGAGCTCCAGGGAGGAGCCGAGCCTGCGCAGCGTCTCGCACAGATCCTGGACGTACCAGGAGCCGCGCCCGGTCTCCCGATGGGAGCAGTAGCCCTCGGCCACCGAGGAGCACACGACGAAGTCGGCGCCGGCCGGCAGGGCCCGCACGGCGGCCGCGTCCACCTGGTCCGCGGGCGTGACCGCCACGTCGGGCTGCCGCCCGACAGGCCTGGAGGATGAAGATCTTGGGTCTGCCCACCAGGCTCGGCCACCGGTCTCCCCTGAACAAGCCCGTCGGCGCCTGGATCTCGATTTTGGCGTCGCAGGCGAACCCGGGCTGGCCCTCGGCCTCGGGGACTCTGAGCAGCAGTTCCCCGGCTCTGAGGTCGCTAAAGCGTCTCACGTCGAAGCCCAGCTCCGCCAGCTGCGCGCCAGATTGTCTCTGTCCGCGCTGGTGCCTCGCGGCTCCGGCAGCGTCAGGAGCCGGGGGAAGCGCTCCAGCCCTCTCCGCTGGCGGTCCATCTTGTACGCTTCTCCCGGGTCAAACGTGTCGCTCCGGCAGGAGGCGTCTGTCTCTGTCGTGTTCTGCTCCTCGCCTGCAGGGCCGGCCCCTCGGGGCCCGGGCGCCGAGCTCATCGCGGCCGGAGCGTCCACTCCCAGCGCAGCGTCCATGGCCCGGCCGTCTCTCTGTTTACGTTTTCAGTCAGAGAATAACACAAACAGAAAAGCTCACAAGTTAAAACCCCCAGGAGACGAGCCGGTGTGGCTCAGTGGTGGAGCACAGACCTATGAACCAGTCGGATTCCCGGTCAGGGCACCTGCCTACATTGCGGGCTCCATCCCCAGAGTGGGGCGGGCAGGAGGCAGCCGCTCAATGATTCTCTCTCATCATGGACGGTTCTATCTCTCCTTTCCTCTCTGAAACCAATAAAACATACATTTTTTCAAAGACTCCATGTATTTGTCATGAAATAGACATGTTCATGTAAACACCACCAAGATTTAAAAATTCAGTTTAGTCGAAACCGGTTTGGCTCAGTGGATAGAGCGTCGGCCTGCGGACTGAAAGGTCCCGGGTTCGATTCCGGGCAAGGGCATGTACCTTGGCTGCGGGCACATCCCTGGTGGGGAGTGTGCAGGAGGCAGCTGATCAATGATTCTCTCACATTGATGTTTCTAACTCTATTCCTCTCTCTTTCTCTCTGTAAAAAAATCAATAAAATATATTTTTAAAGATTCATTTATATAAGGATCCACAATTATGGGTAAAGAACCAGGATTGCAACAGATTCATCTCCTCCAAAAGCCCTTTCCCATTTCTCCAAGAGACAGTGAGTTGCAGGAATAATGAAATCCCATTTTCTTTTTTTTAAAATATATTTTATTGATTTTTTTTACAGAGAAGGGAGAGAGATAGAGAGCTAGAAACGTCGATGAGAGAAACATCGACCAGCTGCCTCTTGCACACCCCCTACTGGGAATGTGCCCGCAACCAACGTACATGCCCCTGACCGGAATCGAACCTGGGACCTTTCAGTCCGCAGACGAATGCTCAACTACTGAGCCAAACCGGTTTGGCTGAAATCCCATTTTCTATCTGAAAAAGTATCATTTCATCAAAGCACAAACAGCTGGACGACAATCCCAGAGTCCCATCTGGAGGATCTGTTCCCTGAGGTCACTCTTGGCACCAAGAACAACACTAGCATTCAAGACCCAATCAACAAGTAACGGCCCTGCCTGTGTGGCTCAGCGGACAGAGCATCGGCCTGCGGACTGAAGGACCCGGGTTCGATTTCGGTCAAGGGCATGGACCTCGTTTGCAGGCTCGGTCCCCAGCCTCAGGCCAGGGCCTGTGTGGGAGGCAACCAATCAAAGTGTCTTTCACAACTGTGTTTCTCTCTGTGTCTCTCCTCCTTTCGTCCCCTCGCTCTAAAAATCAATGGGAAAATATCCTCAGGTGAAAGTTAACAGCAACAGCAACAAATGTTGGGAATATCATTAAAATAGAGGAATTAGCTGAAACCGGTTTGGCTCAGTGGATAGAGCGTCGGCCTGCGGACTGAAAGATCCCAGGTTCCATTCCGGTCAAGGGCATGTACCTTGGTTGATTGATGTTCCTAACTATCTATCCCTCTCCCTTCCTCTCTGTAAAAAATCAATAATATATATATTAATTATTTCAACAACCAAAAAAGAAATGTTACAGTAGTCACCCCACCCCACCCCTGCTTATTCACAGTTTCACTTTCCGTGGTAAATCCCGATGTAGACAATGTCCGATGGAAAATTCCAGAAGTAAACAATCCATTCGATTTACATTGGGCTCCACGCCGAGGGCATGATGAGATCTCCTGTGGCCTGGCCCGCCCCGCCCGGACGTGAACTGTCCCTTTGTCCAGCGTCTCCACGCGCTGGTCACTTAGTAGCGACTTGGTTATAAGATGGACTGTGTCCCAGTGAGCGCTCGGCTAGCCCTGCTTTTCCTTTATAACCGCCCCAAGCCACCCCCGCTCATCACGGTACCGGGTGGGGCAAAAGTCGGTTTACAGTTGTGAGAGTGGGAAACACAGTTTATTCCTGTATTATTATTTATTATTGTGTTGTTTCCTATATGAACAACTGCAAACCGATTTTTGCCCCACCCAATATAGTGTTAGACGTGTTCTATTATCAATTACTGTTAACCTCTTACTGTGCCTAATTTGTAAGTTAAAATTTATCATAGGAATTTGTAGGAAAAAAAGCAGTATATATAGGGTTTGGTATACATTAGAGAGATACACTGAGTGTCCAGATTATTATGATCTCTGAACGCATAATAATCTGGCTATATACACACACACACACACACACACACACACTCATGCCTGGTCCAGGGGGAAGGGACATGGGCGGTTGGCCAGCCTACCTGCTGATCAAACTCCGGGTCGAGGGGACAATTTGCATATTAGCTTTTTATTATATAGGATAGACACTGAGTGGCCAGATTATTATGCGTTCAGAGATCATCATGATATGGCCACTCAGTAAAAAAAAAATATGTGTGTGTGTGTGTGTGTGTATACATATATATATATATATATCTCACACGCACACGCACACGCACACGCACACGCACACGCACAGGCTTTCACGCATCCACTCGCGGTCTTGGGACATACCCCCCAGGATAAGAGGCACTGCTGTTCTTCGGTATACAGGGTTGGTAACTAGGTAACCAAAAGGCAAAAAAAATAACCTTGTGGTATTATGGTGCCATTCACTACAGCAAGCAGCTACCGCCGTGGGCAAGCAAAACAAACAAAGAAACATTGAAGAAAGCAGGTTAGCAGCATTGAGACTGAACGCTGGGATGAGGTTCCCGCTGGAGACGGAACTCGGACCGCCAGGGGGCGCTGCCGGGCAGGGCAGGCGCGTCCGCGCTGGGAGGACCGCCGGGCGCTGGGAGGAGCGCCGGGCGCCGGCCTTCCCGGAAGCCCCGGGGAGACGGCGCTGACGTCGCTGAGGGTGTGAACACTCGGAAAAGTTGCGAACTAGACTCACCAGCAGTCAGAAGAAGGAAGCGCCTCCGCCAGGGTGAAAAACTGCTGGAGACGCCGACGGGAACCAGGAACGGCCTGGAAATGAGCGGAGAGCCAACCGGAAGCAGCGAGTCCCCTCTAGTCCTCCAGGCGCCCGGTCTCGCTGGTGCCCCCTAGCGGCAGGGTGCGGCACCGCCGGCGGGCTTTCAGAGTCCCCGCCTCAGATTCCCAAAGCCCATCGGAGGGGAATGGATTTGAAACCGAGAGATAATAAATAACTGGCACACTTAAGAACAGGAACCAAGAGATAATACTTAATAACTAGCACACTTAACAGCAGAGCGTGCCAGGGGCCAGGGACGACGAGCCATCCAATTCCATACCTCTAAGGCCCAAATATATTCTTAAGGGAACTTGACTACATGAAAGACTTGTTTTCCTGGTTAGCTAGTCTGAATGTCGTGCTGAGGTTAACTCCACCCAAATGACATCGTCCATTAGATTACTTTTAGAATATTTAAACCCAATTATTCTAAAGGTCTTCTGAAGAAATAAGTAAACGAAAGAAGCAATTTTTTTTCTATAGAGAATAAGATAGGTCTAAGCCTAAATGTTGTTGTTTTTTTAAAATATATTTTATTGATTTTTCACAGAGAGGAAGAGAGAGGGATAGAGAGTTAGAAACATCGATGAGAGAGAATCATCGATCAGCTGCCTCTTGCACACCCCCTACTGGGGATGTGCCCGCAACTAAGGCACATGCTCCTGACCGGAATCGAACCCCGGACTTTTTAGTCCGCAGGCCGACGCTCTATCCACTGAGCCAAACCGGTTCCGGCTGTTTCTTGTTGTTTTCAAAAAATATATATTTTGTTGATTTTTTACAGAGAGGTATAGAGAGTTAGAAACATCAATGAGAGAGAAACATCGATCAGCTGCCTCCTGCATACCCCCCACTGGGGATGTGCCCACAACCAAAGTACATGCCCTTGACCAAAGTCGAACCTGAGACCCTTGAATCCATAGGCTGTATCCACTGAGCCAAACCAGTCAGAGATAAGCCTATATGTTTTAAAATATAAGGTGACACACCCAGCTGGTGTGGCTCAGTGACTGAGCGTCAATCTATGAACCAGGAGGTCACTGCACACATGCCCGGGTTTTCGGCTCAAACCTCTGCAGGAGGCAACCGATCAACGATTCTCTCATTAATGTTTCTATCTCTCTGTCCCTCTCTCTTCTTCTCTGAAACCAATAAAAATACTAGTATACTAAAAATAAATAAAATAAGCCGGGACCGGTATGGCTCAGTGGATAGAGCGTCGGCCTGCGGACTGGAGGGTCCCGGGTTCGATTCCGGTCAAGGGCATGTACCTTGGTTGCAGGCACATCCCAGCTGGTCGATGTTTCTCTCTCATCGACGTTTCTAACTCTCTGTCCCTCTCAATTCCTCTCTGTGTAAAATCAATAAAATATATTTAAAATAAATAAATAAATAAAATGTAAGGTAACACTAATCAGTCTGGTCCTGAAAGATGATAAACATTAAAACTTCATACATATTTGACCAATATGTCATCATAAAGCAACCAAGATAGCGAAATTGTTCAAAATATCATTTTGAGGATTAAAAGTGTACAAATTAGTGGCATGAATTATACTCACAATGTGGTGGAACCGTCACTGCTATCTATTCCCAGAACTTTTCACTATCCCAAAGTCACTCCTGTCCCCATTAAATAAAATCTCACTCCCCATTTCTCCCTCCTCCCAGCTCCTGGCAACCACCAGGACCATCTTCTCATGCGCTGACTAGCCATTTGCATATTTTCTCTGGAGAACCGTTTCTTCCAGTTCCTGGCCCACTTCTGAACGGGGATGTTTTGTTGTTGTTGCTGTTGTGTTGTAGTTCTGGATATTAACTCCTAGTCAGATAAATGCTTTGCAAATACTTCCCCCCATTGCGTGGGCTGTCTTTTTACTCTGTTATATCCTTCGCTGCACAGGTTTGAATTTTGAGGTAGCCCAATTTATCTATTTTTCTGTTGCTGCCTGTGCTTCTGCTGTCATGTCCAGCCAATCATTGTCAAATCCAGTGGCACGTAGCTGTTCTCCCGTTTTAAGAGTTTAGTTTTAGCCCAACTGGGGTAGTTCAGTGGATAGAACGTCAGCCTGCGAACTGAAGGGTCCCAGGTTCAATTCCAGTCAGGGCACAGGCCTGGGTTGCGGGCTTGATCCCCAGTGTGGGGGTACAGGAGGCAGCCGATCAAGGGTTCTCATCATTGATGTTTCTCTCTCCCCCTTCCCCTTTGAAATCAATAAAAAAATATTTTAAAAAAAAAGTTTAAAGTTTTAGCTTTTACATGTAGGTCTTTGATCCATTTTGAGTTGAGTGTCCTCTATGGAGTGAGGTGAGAGTCCAAGTTGGTTGTTTGGCATCTGAGAACCCAGTTTCCATTTATCGAAACGGCTGCCCTTTCCCCATGGAGTGATCCTGACTCCGTTTGTCAGAGTCCATCGGACCACATACATGAGCGTTTAGTTCTGGACTCTCTACTCTATTCCATCGGCCCCTGTGTTTATCTTTCTGCCAGCAACACACTATCCACACTATTGTGCTGACAGTAACTTTATAACAAGTTTTTTAAAAATATATTTTATTGATTTTTTACAGAGAGGAAGGGAGAGAGATAGAGAGCTAGAAACATCCACCAGCTGCCTCTTGCACACCCCCTACCGGTGATGTGCCCGCAACCAACATACATGCCCCTGACCGGAATCGAACCCGGGACCTTTCAGTCCGCAGACCGGCGCTCTACCACTGAGCCAAACCGGTTTCGGCTATAACAAGTTTTGAAATCGGGAAGTGTGAGACCTCCAACGTTGTGCTTCCTTTCCTAGATTGCTCTGGAATTTTTCTATTTCTGCGAAAAATGCTATTGGGACTCCAATGGGGACTGTGTCGAGTCTGTAGAATGCTTTGGGTAGTACTGACACCTTAGCAATTTTACGTTTTCCAACCCAGGTTCACCGGGTATTTACCATTTTTTTTGAAGTATATTTTATTGATTTTTTATTTATTTATTTTTTTTACAGAGAGGAAGGGAGGGTAGAGAGCAAGAAACATCGATGAGAGAGAAACATCCATCAGCTGCCTCCTGCACACCCCTCACTGGGGATGTGCCCGCCACCAAGGTACATGCCCTTGACCGGAATCGAACTCGGGACCCTTCCCTTCAGTCCGCAGGACGACGCACTATTCACTGAGCCAAACCGGTTTCGGCTGTATTAACCATTTTTAATTACGTTAGTGGCTCACATGACTGGCTTAAATATCCCTCCAGACACCCTGTTAGTTCACTGTATCAATAATATAACATTATACTGAAGCCGGTTTGGTTCAGTGGGTAGAGCGTCGGCCTGCGGACTGAGAGGTCCCGGGTTCGATTTCGGTCAAGGGCATGTACCTGGGTTGCGGGCACATCCCCGGTAGGGGGTGTGCAGGAGGCAGCTGATCCATGTTTCTCTCTCATCGATGTTTCTAGCTCTCTATCCCTCTCTCTTCCTCTGTAAAAAATCAATAAAATCTATTTTTTTAAAAATAATAATATTACATTAATTAGATTGGATGAACAAGAGTTGGCAAGCGCATTGATAAGAAATGCACTCCCCCCCATGTGGACAGTTGATGCTGGGGCCGCGGGACCGGGGCTGAGGGCGTGGTTGTCTGATGGGATTGGCCTGGGTGTTGGGGTGGCCTCTGACCGGAGGTGGGAATGCGGGGAACTGCGCTGGTGCCAGGGCGGTCACTGCGTTGTGCTTGGAACTGGGGCCTCAGGGTCGGGCCTGTCTCCTCCCTCCCCCAGCCCTGCCCAGGCCAAGAGCAGAGGAAACCACACACCCAGCGCACACGTCTTTATTGGCCCAGATGGGGGTTCCCGACGCAAACAGGGGCCTCCGTCCTCACCGCCGCCGCAGAGCCGGGCCCCGCTGGCGGAGATCAGAGCTGGGGGGCGGCAGGGGTGCCCGGGAGGCCCTGGCGGCAGGGGAGAGGCCCGCGCCTGCTCCCCGCGCCCTCGTCCCCCGGGCCCCCGCGCCCGCGCTTGAGGCGCTGCCCCTCCTGGAACAGGGAGGCCACGTCCAGCAGCGCGTCCTCGATGTGCTGCCCCAGCCGGTGGGAGTCCTGGGGGAGAACGGCCGCGTCCGGGGGGGCGGGGGGCTGCGGGGGATGGGGAGGAGGGAGGGGGGGGGAGGAGGGAGGGAGGGCTGGGGGCTGGGGGAGGAGGGAGGGAGGACTGGGGGAGGAGGGAGGGAGGGCTGGGGGCTGGGGGAGGCGGGAGGGAGGGGGGAGGAGGGGGGGAGGGCTGGGGGAGGAGGGAGGGAGGGCTGGGGGAGGAGGAAGGGAGGGCTGGGGGAGGAGGGCTGAGGGCTGGGGGAGATGGGAGGGAGGGCTGGGGGCTGGGGGAGGAGGGAGGGAGGGCTGGGGGAGGAGGGGGGGAGGGAGGGGGGGAGGGAGGGAGGGCTGGGGGAGGAGGGGGGGAGGGCTGGGGAGGAGGAAGGGGAGGGCTGGGGGAGGAGGGCTGAGGGCTGGGGGAGATGGGAGGGAGGGCTGGGGGCTGGGGGAGGAGGGAGGGAGGGCTGGGGGAGGAGGGAGGGAGGGCTGGGGGAGGAGGGGGGGAGGGCTGGGGGAGGAGGAAGGGAGGGCTGGGGGAGGAGGGCTGGGGGCTGGGGGAGGAGGGAGGGAAGGCTGGGGGCTGGGGGAGGGAGGGAGGGAAGGCTGGGGGCTGGGGGAGGAGGGCTGGGGGCTGGGGGAGGAGGGAGGGAAGGCTGGGGGCTGGGGGAGGGAGGGAGGGAGGAGGGAGGAGGGGTCCAGGCTCCTGGGTCCTGAGGCAGGAGGTGGCCGGCGGGTCTCACCGTTTTTGTGCTGGATTTTTTGCTGGAAATGTGGAAGGTGATCGCGCCATCCCCCATGAAGATGTAAGAAACGCCGTAACCGTGGTCATTCACCTGGAGAGGGGCAGAGTGAGGGGCACAGAGGAGGCCCCGTGCCTCCCCCACTAGGAGGAGGAGGGGGAGGAGGAGAAGGAGGAGGAGGGGGAGGAGGAGGAGGAGGAGGAGGAGGCAGAAGGAGGCAGGAGGAGGAGGAGGAGGCAGAAGGAGGAGGAAGGAGGAGAAGGAGGAGGGGGAGGAGGAGGAGGAGCAGGAGGAAGAGCAGGAGGAGGCAGAAGGCGGAGGAGGAGGCAGAAGGAGGAGGAGGAGGAGCAGAAGGAGGAGGAGGAGGCAGGAGGCAGGAGGAAGGAGGAGGAGGAGGCAGGAGGGGGAGGAGGGGGAGGAGGAGGAGGAGGAGGAGGAGGAGGAGGGGGAGGAGGCAGCAGGAGGAGGAGGAGGAGGAGGAGGAAGAGGAGGAGGAGGCAGGAGGAGGAGGAGGAGGAGGAGGGGGAGGAGGAGGAGCAGGAGGAGGAGCAGGAAGAGGAGGCAGAAGGAGGAGGAGG